TGCCCGCACACCCTGGCGCTGGGCCCGGAGGCCCGGAGGCTGGGGGGCCGAGGCTGGCCAGGGCGGGAGGCCTCCCCACGACATGCGCCTCGGGGACCTGGGCTGGACGAAGGACGAAGGACGGGTCTATGGAAGATGATCAAGGAGCACAGAGGAGCCACTTTGCGAGTCCAGCAGAGGCCTCGGGGGAGCAGAGCGGGAGGCAGGAAGGCGCTGAGACCAGAGAGGGGGCCGATGCGCAGGGGGAGTGCTTAGCCAGGTAGCTACACGCACAGACAGAGGATTGATTGGGTCGGTGGATACTTAGGCAGGTAGACAGGCAGACAGACGCTAGAGGGATGGATGGATCGGAGAGACACACGGAGGGTCGGGGAACAGCTGGAGGGAGACACCAAGTGGTTTAGAAAGAGCGAATCCCATGGGATGTAATTCCAGAAACGAAGAGGCAACCAGGCACAAAGAAAAGAAAAGAAAGGAAAAGGGTAAGATGCAGAGAGAAAACAAGACAGAGAAAGAACCAGTAAGAGCGACAGAGCGGGGCAGAGACCCACGGGGAGACGGGGTGGGGGAGGGGGCACAGAGAGACTCATCCAGGCCTATAAATAGAATGAGAAAGAAGGGCCCGAAGAGAGACAGGGAAGCCCCAAGGAGACACGAGGCCCCGTTCGGGGCCAGCTCCACCGTCCTGGAGGTGGACTCCCCGGCCCAGCACGTTCCCGAAGCTGCTCACCCCTCCTGGGCCTGGCTCCCTGTCCTCCCTGCTCAGCCCCCCTCTTCTTATAGCTGGAGGCGGGGGGAGGGAGAGGGAGCCACGGTGGGCGTGAGTCGTTGCCCGGTGGCCAGAAAAGGGCACCTAAGGGCCTGTCCTCAGTGGCCTGACCCTGGCCCCTGGGAGGGGCTTGGTCTCACTCACACCAATCCCCCAGCGATTTCCTGGCACCAACGGGGAAACTGAGGTCAGAGGGGAGGAGTGGCTCCCCTAACCCTCTCTCCGGGACTCGGGGCTTTTTCTTTCATCTCCAAATCACTTTCTTCATCAGGAAATAGAGGAAGGTGTGGGGGAGGAGGAGGGAGACGGCCCCTCTGCTCCGCCTGTGGGGGGTGCCCCACCGGGTCCCCCGCCCCCCACCCCAGCCCAGACTCACCGCCACGAAGAACATGGTGAAGAGATAGACCATGGCCTCCATGTGGAAGCGCCTCTTGGCAGCGATGCTGGCGGTGGGCAGGAAGGCCAGGCTGCTGAGGGTGGGCAGGAGCAGCTTGGC